CCTTTTTTGTTGCTCGCACGAGACTTTGAAACTGGCCTGCTGCTTTGCGCTGTTTTCTGTGGAGAAAAAGAACAAGTTTAAAAACTGAATCTAAGTAAATAATCGCAGAGATAATAGAATAGCCGTTGTTCGACTATTCTGTGCCGTGACCGCGACGGTACCGTGTGCCAGCATTATAATTGGATGCGCAGTGATCTCAGACGCCGTGCCGTAACCGTGACGGTACCGTGTGCCAGCATTATAATTGGATGCGCAATGATCTCATACTGTAAAATTTCGTACTATGACCGTGCCGTGCTTAACTGGTGTCAAATAATCCATACCTTTTGTTTAAAGAGCTTCTATTCAGAGGTAAGTACGCGTAAGGGTCAGGCTTTCCTTTCCTTTTCACATCTCCTCCAGCACGTTTTGCTTTGTACTCAGATCCAAACGCGCTCCCACCTCGATTACTTGGTTTTCTTTCATCCTCTTCTTCATCTTCCTCACCTTGTTTAGCTCTCTTTCGTTTAGCTCCAAGATCCTGTTAACGTGGTAAAGAAAGAAATCAGTAAAATGGGTTACACAGGGTGGTGACAAACTTCCATATCCCAATTTGCATCCACGAGTATTTCTCTGTCCCAGTGAAGAGTTTGGAGAAATCCCATGGTGGTTATTTTAATTCACAGTGACCTAAACCCCTGTCCAAATGATAAGCCTGAGAAAACCGTTATTTTAGAATGTGAACAATAGCAAGCCATCCATCATTCATTTATTTATTCACTTAATACCTTGATTTGATCTTCTAAGTCATCTTCTTCATCAAGTTTATCAAGAGCTGTTCAACAAAGCAACACCAACATAAACAAAAGCACACCATAATAAACTCTTAATAAACATTTCTATTTATTCCTTTTACGAGAAACGGCGGCAGGTACTGACCTCGCTTCTTCTTACGCTTGGTACCAGTCTCCTCATCGTCCTCGTCATTCTCATCCGGGATAATGAGTCTGCCATCTTTGGAAATCTCAAATTCGTCATTGTGTTTTCGTTTAGTTCCTTTACTTGGATCGGTAGCTGGAATCAATCAAGCATAAAGTTTGTGGGAAGAACGTTTATTTGCTGGGGGCAGTATATTGTTTTAAAGATTWTGTACCAGCGTGAAAACGGTAAATATTGGCCGGCACTTCGGAATTAGTACTAAGTATCAAATAATCGAGAAAAATGGTACTGCACCATGCGCTTTCCATCAAAATACATCCAATTTCTTGTTTCCAATTCCTTATATATCCTAAGACGTGGAATTGAACTATCCATTTTCCATCAAAAAAGCTAATAATTGCAGGTCTAAAAGCTACTTTCTCAACCAAAAGTATGGAAAAAGTCTCATTCTATAGATTTTCCATGAAAAACATCGTTGAACTTGGTGTTTATTTGGTTTTCCAGGCAAAAAGAAGAGTGGAAAAAATAGAAAAATCTATCGCACCATATAAGATGTCCGCCAGCTTACCTGAAACTCTCTGGACTATTTTGGAGTCCATGAAATCAACAGGTTCTTCGTCAGCTCCTTCACGAATCCAAGTCTTGGGACCTTTGACGTTTTGTTTGGCTAACTTTTTATCCTAAAGGAAGAACAATGATGGCGATCTTAGAAGTGATGAAACGATGTGGTGGGGTAAAGCCATCATCATGAAGTGGACGACAATGACGACAACGACAAAGTTGATGACGATGATAATGATGAATACGATGATGGTGATAATGATGACGCTGATGGTGTTGATCATGATGATGATGATTATGATGATGATGGTAGTGGTGGTGATGATGGTRACTGTCACTATGATAGTGATGATGATGGTGATGTTGATGATGATGGTGACTGTCACTATGATAGTGATGATGCAGTGATTATGATGGCGATGATGATGATGGAGGCGACGGTGACTGTCACTATGATAGTGATGATGCAGTGATTATGATGGTGATGATGATGATGATGGAGGTGATGGTGACTGTCACTATGATAGTGATGATGCAGTGATTATGATGGTGATGATGATGATGGAGGTGATGCTGACTGTCACTATGATAGTGATGATGAGGTGATGATGATGCTGATGCAGGCGATGGTGACTGTCACTATGATAGTGATGATGATGACGATGATGATGGAGGTGATAGTGACTGTCACTATGATAGTGATAATGCTAGTAGCGATAATAATGAGGATGCGGGTGATAGTGATGGTGAAGATGATGATGATGACGATGATAAATACGTCAGGTTGATGTTGATGACGGTGTTGGAGGACACCCCTTGACTGTTCTAAGTTTTTTTTCCCGGGGTTTATACATTTACATTGTAATATCTTTAAACAAGAATAAGTTCCATCTACTCTACCTTTGACTTGGCCTTTTGTTTGGGTTCATCGTCTTCCTCTTCGTCGGAGCCGAACATCAAATCTTCATAACTGCAGAAATTAGAAAAATATTGTTACGTTAGCAAGTAGGACTCATTACAAGTGATAGTTTTCACGGGGTTTTTGCTAAGGACGAGTAATCAGAGGATCTAACCTTTCTTCATTTGTCTGCAGGTTATCCTGGTCCTCTGTTTCGTCAGCCTGACAAATGGAAAAAAAAGATGATTTTTGATAACGATAACAAAGTAGAACCTCTAAATCTCTAAATTTTATCGAAACCTGAAACAACCTCTAGGCTGATTAAAGTCAGGGCACGGATACCTCACAGATTGAACCCTGAAGCAACCTCTGGGCTGATCAAAGTCAGGGCATGGCTAACTCACAGATTGAACCCTGAAACAACCTCTGGGCTGATCTAAGTCAGGGCATGGCTAACTCACA